CCCCCCCCCCCCCCCCCCCCCGGTAATCTGTGAACTCCCTGCAGGCCCAGGGGCTCAGGAACCTCTTTATCAGATTATTTAATCTGTCACAAACTGGATTTCTCTAATTGATGAGATATTATTCTAATAGGCTTAAACTGGATTGAATTAAAGGTCTTAATGGGGCCGGTCATCCAAACTGGATTGGTGATTATATTTTGGATTATTTATCGAACACACACACACACACACACACACACACACACACACACCATGGAATCAAACCAACGGTCCTGAAGAAAAGAACTGGGACCTTTCAGGGATAGTTTTGTAATCCAGGTGCATTATGGGAGATGTGGTCTCTGTTGAGGAGCCATAGTGACCGTTAAGACTCTTCTTACAATCTGAAGAGGAACTCTGGATTCTCCCGCATGCCGGCGAGGCATTTGTTGTGTTTCCCAGGATGCATTGCAGTAGTTTATCTGGGTCAGATGGTGCTCGGCGCCATATGTTGAACCGCAGCGAGGCCGCGGGGAATACCGGAGCGAAACGAGCGTGTGTGTGTTTATGAAACGGAATGAAGTCTTTGTTCATTCCTCCTCTACCAAAAACAAAACAAATGATTTTAATTCCAGTTTTTAACAAATGCGTCGCGTCAGAACGGAGAGGAGGAATTCTGACGTGATCTCCATCTCTGGCGTTAACTTTGTGTTTTGTCCAAACAAATCCTTGGAGTTCAAATAACTGTCAATTCAATACGTAAATTAGCGCCTGAGGTAGCTATCACGCAAGCTAACCTTTAAGCAGTTTGTCAAATATTCCAACTACCAGGTAATAAAAGGTAACAACCCATTAGGCAACAGGTAATCTAGTAATGGTGTTGGTTGGAGATGATGTCACAAGTACTGCTGGAAACCCTGAAAGTCCCGGATGTCAAACGGTACGCCAGGCGGTATGAGCAACGGCCTCCAGCACTGCGTCCGTTCATGTCAACCTTATGGAAGACGACGCATCAAAAACTGACTGAATGTGTCGAAGGGCACGATCATTAGCAGCTCAAGCGGTCGCTACAACGCAGCGAGCTAGCAGCGTCCGCGACAAACTGATAAAAAGTGCACGTGGAGATCCTGTGTACGTGAAAAATGACAGGAACGCGTTGTTTCACGACGCGTTGCATCGGCTTCGATGAACTGATGAGGCCTTGCTTTGTTTACTGAACCCCCAGAGCTTTTCTGCCCCCGAGATATCGGCATGAACCAAACATGGTGCGCGTGAGGCTCGTCAGCGTATCGCAGGTCACTGTAAGTCCCGTAGCAACAAATCTTGTTGGACACCACCTTTCTGTTGATTTTGAAGCGCCAACCACGACTACAGCGTTGTTCTTGAAGTTCCACGTGTCTGAGATCCAGGTACTTGCTGACATCACACATCGTGGAGGCGGCCATCTTTAGAAACTGGGACCAGCATTATTGAGCTAGCTATCAAGCAAGTTAACCACTGAGCTATCCGATGAGCCACCGAGCAATTCTGCAAGTGGTTAAACTGCCGAGCAAAGAGAGCTAACAATCCAGCTAGCCTTTTAGCCACTAAGAAAGCTAGCAACCGAACCTTCATGTAAGCTAGCGACTGAGCTAGCTATGGAAATCTTTAAGCTATCGAGCAAAAGAACTCTTGAGCAAACGATCAAGTTTTAGAACTCTACTTGTTTATTTGTCTATAAATATATATTTTTAATCCCTTTTACAATCGACCCCATGTGGATAATTTAACCTAAACTCAGCTCGAACTTGTTCCGAACACGAGCACAAACTCAGCAGTTCCACAGAACCAGGACTGGGCTGTTTGTAAAACCATGAGCCGAACCCACCGCGGCCTCTAAACATTTTAATACTGTAGCCATGATCCTAAACCCCGGACCCCCACCCTGCCGCTCAGCCCTCTCAGGGTCCTCTCCCTCCCCAGCTTCAGCTCACTGTCCCTGGGGGAGGCGGTCAGGCGAGTCCCTGGATTAAGGCCACTCCGTGCTTTGGCCCCTGGAGCCTGAAAAGTTAAACCCCTGGACAGTCGCCACCTCATTCCCTTAAGTGGCATCAGCTTTCATGTTACGATTAATTAAAGTTGGATTTAGTCAAGGGGGGGCTTGGCAAATGCTTAAACGGCTGACATTTCCCCCCCCCCCCCCCACACACACACACACACACACACTTTAAGTAGATTTTTAAATTTCACAGTTTGT